ACAAAAATATGCTACCAAAATGACCCCACATGGCTATCTTAGTACACCAACCATCCGTAGAATATGATAGCACTGAACATTTTTTTATATAGCCCCTTGGATCTTTTGACCTTTGAATTGTGTTTTCATTTTAATGAAAATCGTTATGTTTTTAACTGAACTATTGGTATTGTAAAAACTTTTCTGATGTGCAGTTATTTGCGATACCATGTGCACATTATTCCTTAACGCAACTAACTTTCTCCATGTGAAACTAGAGTGTGTACAGTAAGGCAATAATTTACAGACAACAACGTTTGACAGATAACTCCAGTTTTGAGGAGTCTTGGGAGATGAGAGGTGTCGGACGTGAATGTTTTATTACCATTTGTGGATTACCATGTGCACGGATAATCCCATCGTATTATCAAACTGAGGCCTATAACATTTGTTTTACGGCAATAATTCTTTAATCGATGAGGGTTTTGGGAATAGTTCAGCTGAAGTGCACCTCAATGCCTCCCTGGCTTGACACTTGATTTCGTAGGATGTGTCAGCACCATGCACATGTTTTGTGTCACGTACGCCATGTGGCAGTTAACGTGAACCAGGTGTATTGTTGACACATGCTTCTTTTATAATTCATAACCATAGTTTAAAACTACAGTTTATTATCATAATAGTGGCTGAGTTTTCGTATAATAATTAAAATGCACCGGAGAGACGGGTCTGCGTCGTTCGTAGTGTGGAAACACGAAGCAATGGAAACGCTGGAGCAATGGAGCATTGTGTTATTCTGTGCAGTCGTTTTCCAAGGGGAAATGGACTACCACTGGTATCATTCCTGATATTTGATGAATAATTACAATGCTTTGTACTTTCCATAGGGTTGCGGGTTCCAATAAACCCTTTCATTTTACCGTCACAGAGGTGATAAATAAAGCAAATGTCACCGAAGCACGAGACCGGTATTATTGAAATTTTTCCACATATAATATTCTCAAACAACGATGCACAGATGTTATCAATGATAAAGTCCAGCATTTCAGATGAGTCCCCGTTATGGTTTATCGTACATTGGAATAAATGCACGAATAGATTCACTCCTTTTACCAGGTAAGGTTTCTGTCAATGAATCTGTTTTGAGGAAACATTGGTAAGACTCATCCTCAAACATTGTGTTGATATTCTTAATAAAAGTTCATTGACACCAGTTCACATGGAGCCCAGGTACTTGTTTCCGGTCTTACACATTCTATTAGGAGGAGATAAACATGTCCTCTGTGGAATAGGGGTTTTGAAAGAAGCTGCGGCTGAGTGGGTTAGATCGCTGACTTAGTGTGCTGGCGATTAGGGGCCTGATTAGATTTTTTTTCTGAGAAAGTCTTATAGCAAATACATGTGTAGCAAATGCTACATTTTAACTCTTATTAAATGGCATTGTGTATTCATCTTGATTTATCAATATGTATGCCCTTCTTGTGGATGTAATGAAGTCAGCAAACTGCTACTCTCATTAAAACCAACTAACTTACGCAATTTCATTACCCCAGAATGATCAGCTGTATTGTAAACGACCCGTGAAGGTCCTGGTTAGAATGAACCTTCAGTAACCCATGCTTGTTATAAGAGGCGACTAACAGGATCGGGTGGTCAGGCTCGCTGACTGGGTTGACACAAGTCATCGCTTCCCAATTGCGCAGATCGATGTTCATGCTGTTGATCCCTGGAATGTCTGGTGAAGATCCGATTATTTACAGACCGCCGCCATATAGCTGGAATATTGCTCAGTGCGGCGTAAAACTCAACTCACTCACTCATTGTATAGTAAACACTGCATTGGATACATATTTGACACAATCATTTTAAGTGAGTGAGTGAGTGAATGAGTGTTTGAGTTTAGTTTTACGCCGCACTCAGCAATATTCCAGCTCGTATATGGCGGCAGTCTGTGTGGACCACACAATGCAGTGATCAACAAGGAGCATCGATCTACGCAAATGATATACGATGACATGTGTCAACCAAGTCAGCGAACCTGCCGTCCGAGGCCGTTAGTCACCTCTGGCAATATTTTGAAATATTAGACTTTGTTATACATGTATATATAATGACAAGCTTGGCGCTGAAAAAGAACTTACCTCAATAAATATCAGGTTAACAATTATTGAAATGCTCCTTACATAAATTTTTTTATTAAAAACACAACCCCAAGATGATTCGGCTGTTTCCCAGCTGTTAATTGATACAGCGTGTACCAATTCTTCAGAGCAGCTATAAGCGAGAGTATGTGCTTGATAAACATGAATATGAAGCAGATCTCAAGATCGAGAATGTTTGTTTAATGGCAGCGAACCATAGGTATGTATGGCAAGACTTCTTCAACTTTAATGTAATATACTCTCCCGAAAAAGAAACGCATATAGGAATTTCAACTGTACTTTTATGTTTATTTTGAATCATCTTGTAGGCTTTATGAGTCAATGAAATATAGCGAAATTGCACACTGGGAATGCAGACTTATCCGTCTTTGGAACCAACTCGAGGAAAGTCAGTTTGAGTGTCACATGGAGACGTGTGTTGGCGCTGGAGTCAATACCCCGCGTGACCACCGTGGGCATCCAGAAATGCACGGCATCGCCTCGGCATCGAACGAATAAGTCTCAGAATCTTGTGTTGGCCAATTGCAGCCCACTCTGCCTGTAGTGCCTGTGCGAGTTGCTGAAGTGTCTGGGGCTGAGGGTTACGGCGTCGCACCCGTCTGTCCAGGGCATCCCACAGATGTTCGATCGGGTTTAAGTCCTGTGATCTTGAGGGCCAGGGGAGCACATTGATGTTGTGGTTCTGGACGAAGTCTCTAGTGTGACGTGCTGTGTGGGGCCTGGCATTGTTCTGTTGAAACAACTCCCTCTGGCGATCAATGATTGGAAGGAGGTGTAGGCGTAGGATTTCGTCACAGTAACGTTGAGCTGTCAGGTTGCCCTGGATCATCACCAAATCACTTCTTCTACGGCAGGTGATCGCTTCCCACATCATAACAGTGCCCCGGCCGAATCTGTCCACCTGGGGAACGCAAGCGTCGGCGAAACGTTCACGTCGACGTCTGTACACCCGCATTCTTCCATCGCGTCGTTCCAATAGAAATCGTGATTCATCACTGAACCAGATTCAACGCCAATTCGGTAGGTTCCAGACCTGAACGTTGGTGCACAACTGAACTCGATGTCGACGATGTTGTTGAAGCACAGGGACAAAATAAGGTCTTCTGGCACGTAAACCAGCCTCTCTCTCAACCTGTTCCTGACGGTCTGTGCAGAAAGCCTCCTCAATCTGGGTATTTGTCGAGCGGTACTGGTCGCCGTAGCTGTTCGATGACGCAGGTGATGTACCCGGATGTAGCGATCCTGCGCCGCAGTGGTTGCTCGAGGTCGCCCACTACGAGGAGCATCTGCTACCGAATTCTGCCCGCGATATATCTCCCACAGCCGTGAAATGGTGCTTTGGTGAACATTCATGCGTCGGGCAACTGCACGTTGAGACTGGCCAGCTTCAAGCAAACCAATGGCGATATGACGGTTGGCTTCACTTAGACGTGGCATTTTGCGTTCGTCAACAATATTCCAAATACAGTGAATAATCAACAGACAGCGATCAACCTTTTACACCCATCATTGAGACTCTCTGATCCCCAACTTTCACGTGCATTGCATGTGAATTGTGTATTCTGTGACAGTACACGCCGAAATTGAAAATCGTGCTGTTAAATACGGGTATTTTACGGATGGTGCGTTTTGTTGTGATGTTTCAAAACATAAACACCATAGGACTCATAAACAGAGCAAAACCTTTTGTTTTCATTCATTGCTACATGACATTGCTATTTTCATGATGCGTTTCTTTTTGGGGAGAGTATATATATATATATATATTTGTGTGTTTCACTTGTTTTTTTAATGTATATTTGTTTACTCATGTCATGACTTGACTCAACTGACAAATGACATCTTCACGCCTCATTTAATCATTGATGTTATCTATTGCTGATAAGCTCTGCAAGAAATTAGCAAGGAAGTGTGCTGGAGCAGACACGGATAAAGTTGATAGTTGATGTTATCCCTTCATACTTTTATTGCAAATATAATTATGGGCAAAAGTATATATCACAACTTTATGGATATGTTATCAATGTATACTCTCCAGGTAACTAATGGTATATTTACAGGTATGTAGGATAGGAAACGGTGGGATTATGTCGATTCGTACATAACATCATTTAGAAATGTGTTCCTGTCAGCAAACAAATACAAGCGATAGAAATATTCCAAAATGATATTATCTAATCATACAATAATACCAATACGTCATATTTGACCCTGATATGTGAACCTGTAGCCAGTCTAACCATATAACATCTGTAAATCACTGCACATTTCATTTACAATTAAGTCTTATATATACGTCAGGCCATGTCGGTTCTAGAGGGATTACTTGCAGTTAAATAGGAGCCTCCATACCCTTTCCAACCACTATAGGAATCTCTGCCAAAATGTATCTTGTCAAAACTTGGTTATTTCATCTTTTAACGATCCTTGGTCATTGATACCTGAAGCGTAATTGAAAAGACTACATGTTACCAAAATAACAGCTCAGGGACTACACCAGTCGTGTCAATTTAAGAGATCCTTTGTACCACAATGAAACAATATCTAAGTATACGCTTTTGTTTTGGAATACATAGTATGGTTAATTTGATAACAAAGTGTATCTAGACTGGAAGGATTAATATCACGATCATGGTTGTAAATGGCTACATTCAAATTTAGTTAGATATGGAGTTCACATCGCTATATGTAGATGTAATATATTAGAATATCCCTCCACCCTCTTGACAGAAGCTCATGTATATGGATGATGTATAACCAATCATCAGTTGTGAGCTTGTGGTCACGTGATAGTACCACGTGACGACCTTCCCATGTGGCTATGACTCACTTCATGTGTATATATACGACTTCAGTATGATTCAAGCCCATAGTTCATCGCATTGGGACTGAACTATAAACACTTGCAAGGATGAAGGTCTTTGGGCAGTATTGGTTCCTTCAGGGTAAACTTGATGGTTTTTGCTTGTGCTAAATACAATAAGTTCTCTTTATGTGGATTAAATAACGCTTGTGAGGATGTGTTACAATATATCATATCAGTAAACATAGTGTCCTTGCATGGTAGCTGTATGTATGAATAATATCCAATGTTTATGCAATGTATAACTGTTGATACTGAGTTTTGTTTATCAAAATGTGACTTTTAGAATATAATGATTAAAAACAGTCTGATCAGGAAACACATTCAACACGTGTCTGTAACGAAAGTATCGCTCGACATTAGTGTATGTAAATCGTTTACAATTCGCAACATCCTAAGGTTATATTGTCCTGTAACCCTTTTGAAATACCAAAGAGACTCGATTTGACAACCTCGTGGAGATTCAGATATGAAGTATCGCATGCCTCCCACTTGACACACCAGTGAACGTTACTTAAGAAATACCGTTCGCTCTACAACCATGTATAGTGTAATAAAGCACACTTTCGCCCTGAACTATTATAACGTTAAAGCGGCCGAGTCCTTTAACGTTATAATAATTCAGGGCGAAAGTGTGCTTTATTACACTATACATGGTTGTAGAGTAAACTGTATTTCTTTTCTAAGATGCCAAATGTAATACTTTCTAAGGATAATTACGATTAATCTAAGGCAGAAAACAAACGACGGTGTCGGTGACCTAACTGACGCGCTGTTCTATTGACGTGTCTGCCCCCTACGTTAAGACGAACGTTACCAGAAAAACAAATGATGACGGTTTACGTTCGGGTTAAATATCTTTTCTAAATTATTTTAATTTCTGTGATTGACGTAAACCATATGGGGCAATATGAACGTCGCATTTCTACTACCAACGTAAGTATAGATCAGTACAACCAGATGAAGCTGACTAGTCCAGGCACATTCAAAGATTGCATTGTTGGAATGTAAACATTGCTAATGTTACCGTGTCACTGTAAAATTGTGAGTCGAACTGAGGCATTTTATCCATCGGAAAACATGTTTCCACCAGTGATGTTATCTGAGTGAAGTAACTGTAAACAAAGAAACGGGATGAAACGGAGTAGTTTACAGTAGGAGGCTGTACGAGGCAATGACAACTGACATGCATCGTGGCGTCGGTTACATTGTGACGTAATGCAAAAGTGTTCGATTACGAGGTGGCAGACTAGAATGGCGCAGTGACGCCAATACATTGTGACGTAATGCAAAAAGTGCACATTATCGTCTGATAAAGTACTGTCGGCACCTTTGATCTTTCACCGAAACATCTTAGAAATCTGTTCCAGGACTTGTTACTGCGTGTATGCTGGTTGGAATATCAACTGCTTGTAAAGATAACAATGACTGCACACCCAATAACGGTGTTTGCACTGAGGGGAAGTGTGTATGCACACCAGACTTTGCTGGCCCTGCTTGTGCTTCAGGTAAATACAGTGATATATTTCTTACTGCATGTTTACACTTGGCGTTAAGGCTGGTCTGGACTGTATTAACGTGTATCTATCAAATTGTGACATATGGTACAGGTCAAAATAGTAATTGGAGCAGGCTATAATGTTTGTTATTGGCATTTGCTTTCATCTGTGATAAATTGTGTCGACGAAAGATATAGATACCTCTGTCTGTACCAACAATTGCCCCGTGAATGTCATTTTGCCCTTAGCCTGTAAATTGCATTAGGGATAAAGTTCAGAAAACAAAACTATATATGAATAAATTGGGTGAAAAGTCCTGAAACAGTTTATGCTGCTAATACTATCTAGAGAACATAATAAGTGAAGGCGAGACTGCTATTGTGTATATTTAAGCATCATGCATGTCTGACAAGTAATATCTAACGTGCCTTCTTTGCAGACAACCCGTGCAAAGGTGAAACATGTAGCGACCACGGAACATGTGAGCCAAGTGAAGATGACACTCCAGTAATTGTCTGCACATGTGATACCGGCTACACTGGAACCAAGTGTGAAACTGGTAACCTTGCAGACCACATTTTTTAACATGAAGTAAAGCAGACAGCTCCATAAAATATCCTATCTGACACCTTGCGTGCACAAAGTTGGCTTCCTTATATCTGATAAACCTACCCTGAGATGGCATTCTGATTGGTTGCTTAGACCTAGTGTCCATGCAGTTAGCAAAAAGTCCCCCATGGTCCCTACCATGGGGATCTACCTTCAGTTGTTGGCAATCTATAGGCTGTTTTTATACTGTCTTTGAAAAGTTTAAATTGTTAAATTTGATTACTAGCTTTAAACATTATATCGGTGATAATCTAGTTGTTTTACTGTCCTTCATTGACAGGGTTTTATAATTTACCTTTAATTATTATACATGTAATTCTATAACTTGATTTAGTCACGATATGGCTGAAATAATGCCGATGTGACTAAAAATCATAACTCCCTTACTCACTCATGAGCATAGATCTACGCAACTGGGATACGATGACATGTGTCCACCAAGACAGCGAGCCTGACAACCCGATCCCGTCAGTTGCCTGTCAACATTATCAACATTATCAAGCGTTGGTAAGCTCTGCAAATGTCTGAAGACGATGGTGACCTTTACAGACGCGTCGATCAAGTTCGTCCCATAGATGCTCGATCGAGTTCAGATACGGCGATTTGGATGGCCAGGGAAGTACATTGACGTTTGCATTAGCGAGATAGGCACCTGTTACACGAGCTGTGGAGGGTCGAGCGTTGTCGTGTTGAAACAGCTCCCTCTGGCAGTAAAAAAGTGGGGAGGTCGCAGGATTTGGTCGATGTAGCGATTTGCTGTAAGATTGCCGTGAACCACCACTAGCTCTGATCTAGCAGTATAAGACATATTTCACCACACCATGACGCTACCAGATCTGTCCACCTGTCAAACACAGTTCGGCGCAAAACGTTCGTGTCAACGTCGATAGACACGTTGTCTCCTATCCCATCGTTTCAGGAGGAAACGCAATTCATGTCTGAACCCAACGCGTCGCCAGTTTCCTAGGTTCCATGCCTTTACCCTGTTGCACCATTGGATACGTCGTTGTCGGTGTAGTCGTGTCAGGACAGGTCCACCTTTTGATTGATTCCCAGTTGTCTCTTCTGATGGTTTGGTCGGAAATTCTTGGAAGACCAGGCACCTGTCCTGCAGTGTCCGTTGCTGTAGCAAATCGGTGACGCAGGTGAAACACCTGGATGAATCGGTACTGAGAAGAGTGATAACTCTTGGTCTTCCACTTCTGGGACGAGCTTGGGTCGAAAGGAAGCGGGTATATAAATGTCTTAATCAAGATAAGATCTTGTGGTGCACGCTGAAGTGTCTTGCAACGGCAGACTTGGTCACCCCTGCTTCCAAACGTCTAGTCGCTATATTTCGGTCAGCAGCATTTAATCTTGGCATTTTTTACGTTCTAAATTTCGTCGATTTCTCTGCACATGTTTACGACTGACTGTTCATTTTGGGATGCATTTGCGCGCAATACACTACAAACCACCTCATGATTATCGGGATTCAAACAGAAATTGTCTTAATGACGATTGCTGTCTCAATATATAGAAATGAACTGTGTTTGTTTTGTTTTTATTTCTGTCAAGTGTAGCCTTACCATTGACTTTGAAGTTCAAAGCATGGTTTCAGTGACAGTCGGACCTATTACACTTGTTCACTACAGTCATTAATTAATTAGTAAGTGAAAGTCTTTATGTTAGTGTGGAATTATACAGAGATAAGGGTAAGGTTTACGCCCTTGGAAATGCCAGAAAATCGGTTGCTGATAGAAATGTAGAGAATGTCGTGTTCGAGGGTAATTGTGACACTAATTTGCGTCATTATGCTTCTAATCTGCAGTCAGTCAAGCACTTTCTTCCGTTTTAAAAATAGAAGGTAGATTAAGTATGTTTAAGAAAAAGTAGAGCTCGTTACATAAGGAAAACAACAACAAAAATTAAGAATATTACGTACTGTGAATCGGAGACGCAAATGGGTGCATTGTGTATAGTTTGACGTTCAGTTACATACCGTGGTTACATATTCCTTCACACTGTCTGACAATTACATTTGGTTTATCAAGCCTAATGTTGCTGGGATGTAACAGTGAGACTGTATTTTGGTTCACAACTATGCAAGCGTATATTCATGCATGCTTGAATGCACTGAACACACACCTGTTGAGGAATAATACAGAACTACAATATTATGTTTAAAACACTCATATATATTTATGTTGTCGATTACGTTTCTAGATATCGACGAATGTGCAGAAACTGGGGATGACGCTCACGACTGCGATAAGAATGCTGAGTGCGAAAACACGCCCCCAGGTTCCTACACCTGTACCTGTAATGACGGCTTTGTTGGTGATGGAAAGACTTGTACCGGTGAATATGATGTTAAGATAATTGTTTTAGTGTCACAGGAATTGACAATTGCAATGGATCTCCCTCATATTTCATATTGTGGTGCCTAAATAAACTATTTAATTTATGACATGACATAATTAATGGCCGAAGGAAAGTGAAAATAGGACAACTGTTTACCTGTGCTCATTATTGTTTTAGCCACAGTTTGTACAGCGGATGGCGACGAATGTTTAAATGGCGGTACCTGTGATATTCCGTCGGGAGGTACAGGTGGTACATGCTCCTGTCAAAGCGGATACGAGGGTCCAGTCTGTGCAGATGGTAGGTACACCCGTGCAATGTGGTTATCTCACATTAATCATTGTGAATGTGTCCACGTCACTACATGTGGTTTCCAGATATTGGCTGTTTCTTTCTGTGCCTATGACTGGACGCGATATTTACTTGAAGACGTTCGTATTACCGTTATTTAGTTTTTAAGTCCTAATTAATAACAAAATTGACTGACAGTCAGGTTGTTGCGATAATGTTCCAGCATAAACTGCAGGGTTGTCGATTTATCAGCGTTATAATAGTGGGCAGACATCCTAAGACGTCCGGAGAAAAATATGCATCGCAGCAGACAAGCGTTTGTTCTTCTAATTGCTCCTTGATATAGAATGACAACAGATTTGGACGGACCGTACCTCCCCACCCTGAACAAAGAAGCATTAGTTTCCAAAATTTTGCATCTTAGGAAACGAACGTGTGATCTAAAATGATCTGTCTGGAATTAAATGAACTCGATCGGGTTCACATCGGCACCTGTTACACGAGCTATGTCGAGCGTTGTGTTGAAACAGCTCCCGCTGGTGGTTTACAAGTAGGAGGACTCGATTTCCAGGATTTGGTCGAAGGAAATAGCGATTTGCCTTTAAGATTGCCTTGAACCACCACTAGCTCTGATCTACCTGACACAGTATGTAGGTCATGGCTCCCCGCACCATGACGCTCTCTCCACCAAATTTGTCCACGTGTTGAACGCAGTTCGGCGCAGTTTCAACGTCGACATTCGTCACCACTTGCCCCTTTCCGTAACCGCCAAGAAGACTCGTTGTGTGCAAAAATACGACAAACCAATCAAAATGCGCGTAATGACTGCGGTGCTTTGATCAAAATAATCCCAGTACTTAAATCGGTTATGGCATTTAAAAAATCATGATAAATATATATCGTTATATTGAAAGTATAAAAAACGTAGCTAACATAACTTTAGTAAGGATAATGCCATGGACAGCGAGAGATTCAAATACACGCACATGCGTTTGTTGACATAACGGCTCTCTTGGGTCGAATTGAATGTATTTCTGACGATCTTGCGCTGTTTTGGAGAATGTAAGTGCGTGTTTTAGGAAATGTGATTATTAATCGCTGCGAGTTTCAAAACAATAAGATGCGTGAAGATCCGGGTTAGAATATTTATCTTCAGTAACCCATGCTTGTTGTAAGAGGCGACAGGCGTCAGGCTCGCTCACTTGGTTGACATATGTCATCGGTTCGCAATTGCGCAGATCGATGCCCGTGCTGTTGATCAATGGATTGTCTGGTCCAGACTCGATTTTTTACAGATCGCCGCCAAATAGCTGGAATATTGCTGAGTGCGGCGTAAAACTAAACTCACTCACTCACTCACTCAAAACAAAAACGTTATATATTTATGTAACTAACCAACTTGAATCTTTAACATTGGGTTTATATTACACATCTCGGAATATTTTAGTCTGACTTTTGGGGGTTCATTCATACTTTATTCAGCGAATTCATTTAACGTTCCACAAGGGGCATGGCAGCAAGGTTACACGAATGTTCAGTTTGATAAATTTTTAAAGTCATTTATCTTGAGTATCTTCTTGGGGATTTAATATAAGTGATTTCTTTTACATTTTATTTGCATATTCAATAAAACAATTCCCATTTGTGATTATAAAAATCTATTTAGAAATATAATTGGAAATAAACGGTCCTTCATCATTTCCATGTCTAAGTTAAAGCTCAGTCCCTATTTGTAACAAAAGTGTAATGTTCCAGCATTATCTGCAGAGTTGTCGATTTGTTGGCATATAACTGATGGGCATCGCGACAGACAAGCGTTTGTTTCCGCTAATTTCTCTTTGATATAGAATGGACTGACCACACTAAACGAGGAGGCAGTATTTTCAAAATTATGCATCTTAGGAAACGAACGTGTGATCTAAAATGAATTTTCTGAAAATAAATGAAATATCCAGCCGCTGCAAGTGGACATATTACGTCGGTCTTGAAAACAAATGAGAATTTAAATGACTATGCTCATATGTTACACAGATGTGTAGATGTGATTATCGGAAGTTGTACCTAACTGTGTCATAGTGGATTAGCCGATATCATGGAATGGTCAGAGCAATGGTCACCCGTATCCATAAGTCCCCACTTGGCGTTGTGAGGCGAGGACGTTCTGTACGCAATTTATTGTTCGGAAAACGTCTCAACAGGATTTCACATTGATCACATGAGCTTCCTGTGCAGTTTAGCAATATCGGCAAGTTTAACTAGCTATTGGAACAAAAGGACACTGTACTTCCACTTTCTTTTGAAGTTATGATGTTATAC